TAATTTACATCTCTGTTTAACTGCAACGAATAATTTCCTAAATCTGTCAGGAGCTATTGCATATTCATTCTGAAGTATTTAAATGATAAATTATTATTATGTAATAAACACAAGTAATATTATTATGTATGAGGCATTTTTTCCGAACTTTTCTCATTTTCAAGTATTATTGAAGATTGGTGCGACTCGTCGACTTTACCTCACTAACTAAACTACTAAAAACTTTATTTTTGAAAGCTGGATCAGTTTGGTATAGCAACTGTATTAATTTGAATCATATTTTAAGACTGATTATTGAAGCATCTTCTCGTTTGCCTAAGAAATAATTGCAATCGCATTTATATTTAATTATTGATGACATTAAACAGCAATTTAAATGAGTTACACAGGTAATTGTTTTAAATAAAAAGTAAAAACTGTAAACACAGTAGATAAATCAACAGTAGATTAATTTATGTAGAGTACTCATTTAGGAATATGTGAGATAATGACGTATAATTAACTTAGTACAGTCTAATTATTACTAATTATTACTAATTATTACTAATTATTACTTGTTTCGTTTGACAGTGAAAAAATATTTGAAAGCTTTGTTGCGATCTTCTACTCCTGAAGCCTATTCCTGAAACCGAGCACAGATGACGTCGTAATTTGTATGATCAGTCAAATAGTTTTACGTTTTAAGGAATGGATCCGGGAAGAACCGATAACTAAACATGAATCTATTATCGGTAAATTATATGTCTTTGAATAAATTATGATATAATAATTTCATTTCAGAGGAATTTAAACTATTTAGATTGAAATGGGAAGATCCTTCAATAAGATATACGTATACTTATATACGTATAGATTTCATTTCATAAAAATTAAAGATAGTACGATTTGGATTAAATAAATAATAATAAGGCAGTATCTTAGGTTTTACTTTTGATTTTGATAATATTAGGTGTTAGAATTAATTCGTAGCGTTTTACAAGTGATGGGAAGTACTTTCATTAATGTATTTTTTAATGCTCATGTGAAATAAATAACATTCTTTCATTTAAAAACGCTACGAATTAATTCCAACACCTAATAGAATTTAACTTGCCACAATTGTTGATATCAATTCTTTTATAAAAATAATATACATATCATTAGAAATTAATAATATACATATCATTAGATTATATTCATTATTTATTTAATTTGGCATGATATAAAGAAATGGGATTTAACTTTGCGCTAGCGAAATTCTTGATATCAAATCTTTTAAAGGAATGGTACATATCATTAAAGTTAATATTATTTATATAATTTGATATTCGATGAATTACATGGAATTTAACTTGGCGCCAATTTTGTTGATATCAAATCTTTTATATGAATGATATATATCATTAGAGTTAAGTAAATAACAAGAGACAATACTATTTGTGTTTTATTTTTTAATTTGATAGAACTTAACTTGATTAATTAAGATTGTAGCATCTGAGTTTTAATTTTTCATTAGATACATTAATTTTTTTCGAAGAGTAATAATTTTTGACAGAGAATTAAAGTTGAGATTACTTGGGTTGGAATAAGACCTTCAATAAGAATATTCTTGAAGGAAAATTAAAACTACTATTAATTATTATAGATTGGATACTTAGGTTTAAAAAGCACTTATTCTTTTAGCGCCTTTTTTTACCTTTTTTAAAAAGGTAAAAAGTTTGTATCAATACATAGTATCGATCATCACGCATTTTGTAAAGACGAACATCTTTATAAACAATTTACCTTATAATTGATTTCAAGAAATAGATTTTCATGTGTTTATATGAAATTTTGGAGCAGGCCAAAATTGACCCCTATTGACCCTTTTTCTTTGTGAAATAATTTTTATATAATCAGTTTTAAAGAAGAATTGAAGGTATACAATTACTTAAGTCTGTAAAAACATCAAAACGACGGTCATCTGTATTTTCCGTCATTTTGTATTTAGAAGAATAATAATTACCAAATACTAGTGTACAATTTGCATTATATATATATATAATATATATATATATATATATATATATATATACATGAAAAATTTTATTAAAACAAATGCCAGTCAAATGTTTGGTTAATATAAATGGTAGCCTCAGAGAACATCTATCATCTCTTTAATGCGTACGATTTGTATCGAAGGTCCTTCTCGGCAATTCGACGCATTGTTGGCTCGCTTACACCAACAATCGATGCTAATTTTCGCAACGATTGCCTTGGGTCATCCGAAATCCGCGTTTGA